ATATATATATATATATATATACACACACACACACACATAAATACATACATACATACATATATGGTAACTGAAATCTCACTGTAACTTACAAAATACTGGAAATTATGCATTTATTGGTTACTGTTTAAGCATGATAAAATAGGAGATAGAATATTCATAAGCACTTTCACATCTATATTACCACTAAATCCTGACCACCCAAGTTTATTGAGTTGGATACAACTTTGTATACAGCCATATCATAAATATTTTCTCTCACTTTTATAAAGTACTTTAGACAATTCTTGTTCTAAACACTGTACTGTAAAGAAGCTGGTAAATTCTACCCTAATGTGTTCTCAGCCAGGATTTGAATAGTTTCTGTAGGATACATTCACTTATTGACTTATTGGATCATCTCAGACTTTCTACAGAGTCATAAAATAACCATTTTATAATACTTTAGACAATTGTCATTGTAACAGTTATACTGTCAACAAGTTTATAAATCCTACCCCACCGTGTTTTCGAAGCAGGAAAATTTCTGGGAATTGTGCCGCATGAGCTTATTTTGATTTGATCAAACTAAGTAAGGAGCACCGATTCATTGCTTTATGTTTGGCAGGTTTCTACTTCAGCTGCTAACAGTAGAATAAACTTAGGAAATAGGTGTGAAAAGATTACAAGAAACTCTGGAACTTTGTGATCCATACTGAAAAGGGACAGACAGTACTATTCATTTTGTTTCATCTAGTTCAGTGGTTGGCAATCTATGACCTGAAGGTAACCGTGTGACCTGCAACAATGATTTAGCTGACCTACCAAAAGTTGGCTTCACCGTTGCAACTCGTGAGGGCACAATTATTGCGCAGTTCTTGGCTGTATGAGAAGAACAAAGATATTAAAGGAAAGAGTCATGGCTACAGAGAATTCTAAGATCAATTTTAGGAAAACATATTCAAGCTGGTTGAACTATATGTGATAACATTTTTGATCATAATGCTTCAGGTGTACTATGCTGTCATTAGTCATGAGATTCCTTGCTTGTCTGAAGGAAAATGCCATGTGTGAAATATATTGGTGTTTTTATAGGTTTTGAGGTGAGTATATGGCAAATTATTTATATTTACAGGTAAATAAGAGTTATATATATAAGTGATGGTAGTATTTTATTTGTGACAACAGAACAGACATGTAGGCTAGATAAGTTGCTTCATTTCTTTTTCACTGCCATCATGGCTGCAGGGTGCCAGACTTAATGACGTATGCATCGCCACCTCGCAACTCGCATGGCTGAGGCTGAACAACATGTAAAAATGTACCAAGAAATTCATTAAATTATGTGTTGCAAAATCAATCAAGAACTGTTTATTTTTGTTTTTAAATGTATTTGGTGACTGAATCATCTTGTTTGTTTTTTGAAAATAATTAATTTTGTTTGTTGTATGTAAATAAACATTCACTTAAACAGGTACTGATATTAAGAATTATGTGACTATCACTGACCAAAAACAGTGCTAAATTTTAAAAATATATATATATAATTGACCCATGATCAAAAAAGGTTGCTGACCACTGGTCTAGTTTCTAAGTCAGCTTCTAACAATAAACTTACTACAGAAAATAAGTGTGAAAGGGTGAGAAGTATAAACTCTTTGAAACTTTGTGATCAATACCATACATTTTATTGCACATTGCCAGCAGCTTGTGTGTTTCACTCTTCGATACAGTAACATGAGCTGCACGTGTGCTGTGTGATTTCAACTTGTGTCGGGGTATTTATAGTCAGGCATGGTTCAAAGGTCAAGAAAACAAAAATTAATAAACATAAATAGCTGTATACTGTTATGAGATTTAAGCTATTTAGAGTAAACATTTGTGGTTTCCTGTTTCTAAAACAGAAAAAAAGGTAATTTAGAATTATTTCCTAATTTTTATGATGATTATGAGGTTGGTCAAATCAACCATATAGAGTTAATATTGATAAAATAACAGATCAAATATAAAGTTTTATCCTATTAAACGTTTGATAATTATCTAGAAAGATATTATAGATTACGCAAATGAAACTTGATAAATTTCAGATAAAGAAAAGTATTTTTAATCTTAAAATCAAAATTACTTTGTATGTTGGATAGTCAACATTCTGAAAGAAAAAATTCATGAGCAAATCTTTAATAAAAAAAATCTTAATACTTAATTTAAAAACCTGATATTTCGTGTATGAAGGCCTTGTAATGTTTACTATTCATCTGCATTTTTTTCTTCTTTACACTAAACACAGACGAATTGACCCTTGAATCAATCTCTTGGAACTTTTGGCAGCATGTTGAGCTTTGGGTCACTTTCTTTCAGCATTACATGGCCATCTAGTTATCATCCACATGGACAACTCCACATTTGTCCCCTATTTCAATCACTAGAAGGGCTCTTGGTTTTTTCTCTGTTTCCACTCTCAACCCTCTCTTTTGGGCTCATTCTCTACAAGTATAGCTGGTGGTTTGTCATATTACAGGTGCCCTAAATCTTGTTGTTGATTGTCTATTAAGGTCTAGCAAGATGTTGGCTATGAAGTGGTCCCTTAATCCTTGGGTTTTCAAGTGGCTTTGCTATTGTCTGGGCACTCCTCTTATAGATGCATTTGCCACTTACCATAACACCAAACCCCCTTTATTGGTCTCCTATTTCACATCCATCAGATCTAATGGTGGATGCATTCAGTCAGGACTGCAATGAACTTCTCTTCTATGCTTACCCTTCTGTTCATCTTCTCCCTCTTGTTCTCTCTCTCTCATTGGGGACACTCATTCTGGTAACTTCATGTTGGCCAGCTCAACTGTGGTTTCTTCTGTTGAACCTTCTCCAATCCTCAATGCCTCTTCCTTTCTCTCATTATCTTCTTTAACTTTGTTTCTCCCTTTCCCATCCAGATGTGTCATCACTCCAACTTCATGCGTGAGTTTTGTCTGGTCTTTTGCAAGATGTTCCAGACTCTTCACATGCAGTCTTCATTCTTTCTCTCCTTCTTGTTCTTCTGTTCCCCATCCTTTAGAGTTTTTCACATGGCTCTTCATCGAAGGATTATCTATATCAACCATTGCTGCTTACCTGGTGGCTTTCTTTACTACTTTCTGTTTTTCTGTTACTGTCATGTTTCTCCTCCTTGGTCCTCACTATGCTATTCCATTCTTTTCAACACTTTCATCCTCCCTTTCCTTCTACTTTTCCCAATTGGAAACTGACTGTTGTCCTCTACATCTTTACCCTTCTTTCTTTTGCAGCTTTGGTTTTTGCTCCTTGTACAATCTATCACTTAAATCTTTTTCCTTCTCCTTTTTGCCTCTGGTTCTCAGTGTTTTGATGTGTATGCCATTGATTCTTCCTGCATTCTTTTCCATCGTTCCTATATTATTCTCTAGCTTGATTGTGCTTTTCTACTTAAAATGTCTGTGGCACATGTAAGAGACAAGACATTCAGTCTTTTATCTCTCTCATCTATTTTTCACTTTTATACTTGCTCCAATCCTGGTGCCTACTCTGTTCTATCTGTGCAGTCTGTTATTTGGCCCTCACCACTCCTTTTTGGGATTCCCATCTCCATTCCTGATAATTCCTCTTCAACTTGTGATATTTCTCCCATTACCCTTTCTGGAGAGTTTCATCAACTCATTTATTTAGCATATTTTTCATTGTATGAAGGTACACATCGATGTTTCCAGGTGACCTCTCATCAAATCTGACACCTTACTTTCTTATTGGCTGCTCACTTTTGTTGTCCATTGGAGTAGATTGTTCAGGCTGGCATGTGGATGACCCCTCACACTTTCATTGCACACAGTCTTTACCATTTCGCCATTTCTTCTTCATCAGGCTATAGGCTGCCTTCAGTTGTCATTCTAAATATATCTTACTGGCTCCGACTAGGTAATTTCTTTTTGTCTTACTTTTCCAGGGCCCCTCTCATACCTCACTGGATCCTGCTCAGTGGCAAGTATTGCCTGATAGGGTATACTTATCCTAAATTTGCACAATGTTGGGCCTTGAAGGCATGATATAGCCTCCCTTATTAGATGGGGTGTTTCACTAGACTACTAGAGGTCCCTTCACTGTGCATAATTTTCTAAACAAGGCCTGATCTTACCCACTCCTTGACTATCGTGAGTAAATCAAGAAAGGACAGCTGCTCATCCTCCATACCTAGCTGAATAAAGTGGTGTTAACCTGCTTTTAAAAATAGGGTTGTCTTGGTTAGCCATTGCAATGTTTTATGACGTTGTGCTCCTTCAGGTTCCCCAATGCGCTTTCACCCCCTTTTTCTTCTAGCAGAGCACGGGAGTCCTTACCACTCACCAGTTCCTAGTTGATGGGATGGTGGACCATGGAAGATTCCTTCTGAGTGTGACCAATTCCACTCAGTAGAGAGTATGGCAGTGGTGTTCTGTTGGTGTAGATGGTAGGGACTCTCCTCTTATCATTCACCGGATGAAAAAGACCCAATGCTGCCTGGTTTTGGACTGGAATTGACCCACCACATACAGTTCAACTTTCTGTTCTGGTGTTGGATAGGTGCAGGACCAGCCAACATAAATCCTCACTCATGAAGATAGTTGGAACCCTCCTCCTACCATGGACTGGATGAAAAATACCTAATACTGTCTGGTTTTGGATTAGAGTTGACCTACCATGTACAGCTGGCTTTTCCTGGTTCTACCACTGCCTAGATGTTGGGTTCCCATATGGTCTGGTGTTGGATAGGTGTAGGACCAGCTAGCATGAGCACCCTCAGGGTTGAGAAATTCATGCAGATCCACAGTTTCCCATGAATTTTGTGTTTTATGGGTCATTCCTGTGAATTGTGTAAATTTGAGGAGAAAATTTCAGGGGGGGGGGTAGGCCTCTGTGAGTCTTGATGAGTCCTAAACATGGTTTGTTTTTATATTGTGATCTGTTTTTTACAGTCTTTTACTAAATTGTACCTGTTTATGGGACTGCTTTGCTAATGATATTTAGGTTAAATTCAGTTCTGAATCACTTCTAATCAAGGGGCTTTATGGAGTACCCATTGTTGTAACTTTCGAGCATTGATAGTGTCTGCTAAAATGTATCAAGTTTTGAAAAGAACTGATGACAAGGAACACCATAAGGTTAGAGAGATTGATAACAATTGTAGAGTGACTTGGAGGTGGGCATGGATGGATAAAGATTTTAAAATCAAACTGAAAAACATGGAGGGTGAGACAGTGAATGAGCAACACGTTTTTCACAAATTCCTGACTCCTTGTGCAGCAGTTTGCTATATTTGTCAAAATGTGGCACCCATGGTATCAGTGTATTAAAAGACCACATTCAGTCAAAATGCCTCAAAAAGTCAATGCAGGCCACCGCTTCTAACCACCACATAACAAATCATTTTACACAGCTAATGTCAAAGGAGCCACCTACTATAGGCAATGAAGCTACCGCTATATCTATAACGAACCAGCAGTTCCAAACAATTTCAGCAATTTGATGTGTGACAGAATTTCCACTGCATCTAAATGTACATGTCTAGTAGAGTAGGTATATAATTTCCCCCTTCTCCACTTAACCCTTTCACTGCAGCTGGGACGTATATTTCCCATAGCACTGGGAAAAATACATCCCAGCTGCAGTGAATGGGTTAACATACCATTATGATTTTCTGAGCAGGTGACTCCAGGGAGTGGCTTTAATAGCATTTTTGAGTGTGAAGTCCTGTCATTTAGATTTATATGAGTAACAGAAACCCCCATTGGGACACTGCCTCTGGATCACAATGAAGGCCTGCAGGCTTCCAGTGATTTTTCTCATCTATTCACATCCCTATCCTTAACTCCCTCTATTTGCAGAATGGCTGTTCCTTTTCCCCTTCTGCTTCACAGGGATTGAGGTAAAGATGGTAGGAACCCTCCTCCTACTGCAAATGACATGAAAAATACCTGATGCCGCCTGGTTTGGGACTGGAGTTGACCCACCATGTGTGGTCTGATGCAACCGAGCCACACTACACCAATTTGATAGATAACTCATCTAGATAACTTTTGTATTAGTCCCTTCATCACTTCAGTGTAGGATTTTAGCTATATGTGAGAGGAGGTAAGGTAATGTATTTGTGATAAATACTTACTTCTACTCACACTTTCCACCCATCCTCTCCACTTCTGGTGCACCTTTTCTTGCCTAGTCTCGAAGTGATGACTGAATTAGCAATATAGAGGGAGTCAGCTGCACTAGGAGGATGTATTGCAGTCCTGTTGGTGGAGGGTTGTTGCATGCTTATTTGCATGCAACAGTGCAGTAATATTGCATGGAAGCACATTATTTTAGGTAGGAGTTCAAAGCTAGTAGCGAGTGAAAATTGTGCCTAAAGAGGGCAGCAATGAATTGGGAAAACTATATGTGAGTTGAGGTAACAATCAGAAATACATTTTCAGTGTTGGAAAATCTTAACTTTTAGTTACAGTGTCAAACATCAAAATTGTCAACACACTAGAGCAAGGGGTGATTGGAAAATATTTACAGCACAGTCCTTCATAGAATAAGTCTGAAACTTCCAACCTAGACTTTTGTAAAAATATATGCTTTGTGCTATAATAAAACAACCAGTGTTAAGCAGTGCAATAATTAATGTTCAAACTGTTATCTGTTCTACAAGAAACCATAATTACATGATTGCATGTATTCCCATCCTTTTCAAAAGCAGTAGGTGTAATAAATATCACTACCCAAAATGCTAAAGAACTTACTTTATTTGGTATTCTCCTGAGTGCCATTACCACCGTCTAAACTACCTAATATAAACATTGTTCAAGTCTAGTTGAAATAAAGAAACAAACTGTGCCTGTTAGAATCCCCTCATCCCATTAATGTACCATTGATAGTCTGAATTTCATATAATTGGCTCATATAATAAGCTTAGCATTTCTTGTTGCAGAAAGGAGGGGCTGTCAAGAAGGGAGTTAATGGTAAGCCTATGTGATATACAAGTAGAAAAAGTTAATTTATAAATAGAACTTGTTTGTTTTGTTATTGTTTTTCATAGCTTAATATTTCATGCTTCGCAAATTAAAGCATTTGTAAGTTGCTAGGTATAATTTTTAACAAGTGTTTTAAATGATTTATGCATAAGAATTTACATACTGACTGTTTGAATTTTTCTTTAATTCACACTTTATGCGAGATGTATTTTAGAATCTGAAAATACAAAGTGTTGGTTAAATTTGCTGTAAGGAAAACAGAAATGCACAGCTAATGTTTTGGCTATGTTTTGATTTTTTCTGTATTACCAATTCTTTAGAGTTGTGTAATGAATATTTTTTTTGTTCATCGTTCATTTAATATTTAGGTTTGTTTTTCTTTCTCATCTACTGTATTTTGTGGTAGATTTATAAAATACAATTTTATATTGATTTTTTAATATTTTAATTAAGCTGTGTAAGAATGTAAACTTATGCAACATTCATACTTATGTTTCATTTTAAGGTCATGCTATGCAACAGATGAAAATGGCACTTCCATATGATGTAAGTTAGAAATTATTCTGATTTGAAATCACTTACATAAGCTAAGGCTGATATGCACTATCAGTATTATGGTTATTTATAGCAGTTATAGAAAATCCTGTTTGTTGTGCTAAAGTTTATCTGGTTTAGTAATTAGATGACATGAAGTTTGCCAACCATTTAGTTTTGTAACTAATATGCAGAAATTGCTTATGTATATTAATTACTGTACTTTCGTGAAACACTTTTAAATAGCTACGTGAAAGCTACAAGCCATTCAAACACATTGTTATTGTTAATTATAGTTTTGTAACTTTTAACATTCTCTTATAGAATGAATAATTTTTATTGTTTTTTTCTTGTAAAATTGACTTCCTTAAAATTAAACATTTACCAGAACCACTGCTTAGTTTTAGCCTTATATAATTTTGTGTGTGTATTCTCAAGTAGTTTTCCATTTCAGATACCTAGATGTTTGCGTCATCAAGAATTACTTAGAAAATTATATCAGTTTTCGGAACTTTACTGCATAATATTCATCTAGAACTATCAGAGTTAACTTTAACTCCAGGAAACATTTTGATGATTTGTACTGACATTCAATAGAAACTTGCAAAGTGGGTTATTTAAACAGGTTGGTTAAAAAAAGTTTGATGGCAATTCATGCATACCATAACTGATTCCTTTAAATATAAACAAAAGAAAGAACTTTTCTATGTTACATTCAGGACTGCGCATCTTGCCATGATTATTTGCCTGAAGTGTGTAATAGAAATAGTTTTACACATTTCTTAAAGTTAACATTATTTTTTTTCAATATGAGGGTATAAGTTAAATAGTTATTGAGATAGATATGGTTGTTTTTCTTTTTTAATATCCTTAAAATTTTGTTACGCATATTATATCAAATTTCAACATATGATGCAAACACATCCATTTATTGTATGGAATAATGTTTGTTACAAGTGCAGGTACTTTCAATTTCAAAGAGATTTCAATGCAGCTAAATTATGTACAGTACTACCTGTTTATGTCAACACTGTTGAGCCCATATAAATTTAGTTGGCCTTATCATTTCAAGATGGCAGTGAGTCACATGTAGCAAAACAACTAATTTGAAAAAAACAAAAACATTTTATCCTGGATTAAAACAATTTGTTATGGTTTCTGTGCCCATGACTGCTTTATTGACAAATCATAATGTATACAGTAGTCTCGCTTAGATACGACCGACTTATCTGCTATGATAAAAAAAAAAGTCGCATCTGCATAGACAAGTTGTAATAAAATAAAGTTGTACTCAATATCAACATTATAAAGCAATTAACATAAAAAAAAATCATATAAGACGTATCGGAGAAAATTTCTCAGCCACAAATGCCAAAAGCCCCAAAAACATTTAAAACTGACAAAAAATAGAGGACTTGTACAACAATGAAAAAATCATCTGCACTTTTCTATTGCTATGGTTTGAAATTGCCTTCAGAAGCACTTATTACGCATTTTGTTGACATCAACTGTTTTTCGTTTAACCCTATTGCCCCGGGTATTCTTTATTTTGCATGACACAAGGTTTTATTGTCTTACACTCAAAATTTTATTGAATTACTTTTTATTTATGTTATACCAATTAGAATAGCATAAAATCTCAGCTAATAATCCATATTTTAATGATATACAAGTTTTAAGTTCTTATTTCTACAAGACAATATTTAAAAAAATTCTAAATTTCCACTAGTATGACCCATGTCATCATCCCTATTTCATCCATCACTTCTCGAAAAAGTACAAAATTAAACGTAAATTACTCTCTATAAAACGTTATTGCTCAGACAAACCATAGTTTTTATGGTCTTCAATTTTGTTTGGTTACAGAGCTATCAAACAGAAAATGTGACCCTTCCTGTCACACCCACCTGTCACATCCTCTCTTTCAGAATTTGTTGATAGTTCTCTCTTACATTTCATTATATATTACCTACAACCAATAGAAGGTCAAGGTTTTCATCTTTTAAATGACGTATTGTATAATGTTGTGTTCTGAACAGAATATCGTCAGTTTCACTCACAGTACAAGATTCGTTCCTGTGGGAAAGTTAACAACTAGCTTGGGTGAATTTGTTATGGCTCATGTCGCATAGTTAGAAAGCCAGAAAAATTTTGAGAGTTAGTGGAATTTGTCTACTTTTTGCAAGTCTATATTCTTTGGTGCATTATTTAACTCTTTTTAGCACAGGCTCATTTATAGTTTTCATGCTATAACTTTTAAATTAGTAAGTGTATCTTAATCAAATTTGGCAGATTATCAGTAAACATTACAATGCTTTCATACACAATATTTTATTGGGTCTTAAGGTTTGTAAAGCAGTTTTTCTCGTGCCTTTTTTTTTCTTTTCACAAGTTGCCTATCCAACATGCAAAGTAATTTTCATTTTAAGATTAAAAATACTTTTGTGCATCAGAAATTTTTGAAATTTAAAATGCAAAATCTTCATAACGTCCAGATACTTATGAAAGGTTTCTTAAGAAAAAACACTTTATATTTTATCTGTTATTTTCAGTAATGAATTTCCAAATGGATTTGGTCGATTTGACCAATCTCATAACCATGTTAAAAAAATTAGGAAATAAATTTAAATTATACTTTTTTCTTTCTAGAATGACTACAGATTGTAACACGAAAACATGAATGCTTAGACTGAATAGCTTAAATCTCATAATATACATTTATGTGTATATTTATAATTTTTTTTTGAACTTTCAGCTGTGTCTGGCTAACAGTACAGAAGCTACAATGATGCTGCTCATGTGCACTGATGTTACCATATCCAATAATATTAAAGTGACCTGTCTGGGCTGTGTTGTAGTAGACTAGTATTTTTTAAAATAGTCACATTTCAATTATTACATATTTTTATGTATACTAGATTATTGCTATTTAGAAACAAGTTCTTAAACTTATTTTTCTTTAAACATAGAACAGTAAATAAAGAAGTAAAGCAAACAATTATCTCTTCTAGTTATGACCTTTGTACTTGGTTACTGTTTGACGTAGGTTGCTAAGCTTTTTAAAATGTTGCATGTGGAGGATATGAAACAAAATTTTTAAGTTTTATATATATACATTTAAATAACTAAAAAATCATAAATTACTACATCAATACTATAGAATTCCACTATAATTTATCAAGCTTAGAAACTAAGATGTATTTTAGTCCAAAAAAAAATGAAATTTCAAGCAGACTAAAGACACACCCTACCTCGTTGAAATATTGGTTCAAAAGAAATAAATAGCACCAAGCCCGTTAAAATGGCTGAGAAAGCCACTAGGTGGACATTCTGAGCTTATGATTGGTTATTCATGTCATATATAGAAGTAAGTGTACATAAGGGAGGGTTTCTAAAAATGGGAAGATGTGGGCTGGGTGCCACTGTGTTTGATTTATTAAATGAGCAATATCTTAGCAAATAGAAAATAAAATAAGTTCTTATTTTATATTCTAGCTTATCAATATCAGTAATTTAAGTTTTTAATTCTTACAAAACTATAGACTTACTATTTTGACTTCACAAACATCCAATCTGAACCAGTGCTGCATTCAACATACCACGTGACACACAAATATCAATGTTTATCTGTCTTTTATTAATATTTGCTTTTAAATTAAGAAATTGAGTAATGTATAGTACTAAAATTTGAATAATAATCTACAGTTTGATACGAAAGTTATTT